AGATGGCATCCAAACACTGTAACTCTTTTGTGGTCGCTTTTTAGTGGATTTCCGGCGTGGCTTGGACTCTGCTACTGGCACCTGGATTTTCTCTGGCTCTACCGGATCTTCGAGAGTGATCTGACGGGACGGCCGTGCTGAATGTGGAGAAAGGGTAGGGTTCTTAGACAGCCTCTTCGCCCTTGTCCGCTTCAGACTCGAAGGCGATCCAGTGCCCTCATTTCGCACCGCCTCATCAAGACCACGGGGTGTTCGATCGGGATCATTGAGCAGTTGGTATGCCGTCTGCATGGGATCTGTGGGTGTGTGGGGTTCTGAGTCGTCTATTTTGCCAAAGACAAAGTCATCGTGACTGGGCGGAGTTACAGGCGAGATGGTGCGGGATTGGTTGCGCCTATCGGGTGTGTCATAGTGCCATACTTTTGATACTTCAGTATGTTGCTCGCCAATAGGTATGTCAATTTCATGAGGGCTTGGTGTCCTGCTCTTCTGTGGGGGTGTCGATTCAGTTGCAGCTGAAAGTAGAGATGAGGATCCATGGCTGCTTGTTGGCCTGTGTGTGGTGGGTGTGGCCTGGTTCTTCCTGACTTCAGAGATTTGAGGTGGGATGGGGTTGAGACCGAGCATCTGCACCCACTCAAAGCCAGCTTGCTCATCATCGGATATCAAAGACATGACCTCGCTCCACTCTGATCCATCGTTTTGTTTTCCACGGATCATGACAATTATTTCGCCCTTTAGATCGCCATTCCGTGCTGATGCATTGCTGAGGTGGACAGGTGGGAGGAGCAACCATCGCCCTGTAGGATCGACTTCGCAGAAGAGGAGGTCGCCTCCGACTCCCGTACCTGGTGCGTTGTCGCGGAGTAATATCTCAACGCGACAACTCATTTCTTGACCACTCGAATGGAACAGATGTAGGTCGAAGTGGTCTCTAGCTCGCACGCAGCGCGTGGAATCAACCCGAACGCCGGCAAGTGGGGCGAGACTTCGGGGATCGCGTGCGCGAGTGGGATCAACGCTAGCCGCGGCTTCGTCTTCGAGGCGGGCTTGTTCGTCGTTCGACCGCTTGCGTGCTGTCGTAACTAGGTCTTGGAAAATCTTCGAGATTTGCTCGACGCGCTCGGAAGGTTTCACATGATTGATGCCCTTGATTGATGTCAGTATCTGCGGCAGCATGGACAAGTCAATTCAACGTACCTTCAAACTCTTCGACAGATACTTGAGTCGAACCAGTGGGCGTTTGAGCATATAGGCGACGTCAACACGCTCGCCATCGCTGTTGACTACATATCCCTCAGCGTTTCGCGGCATGCCTTCGTCCCATGGGGCACCGTCATCTGGCCCATTGACGACTTTTGCGGGCTTGAACGGATCGTCATCTGCCGGCGCGAGACTGATTACGACGTCTTGGAAGCCGAGGCGCCACGCAGCGATGTAGTCAGAGTACACTCGTTGTGCACTCTGAGCCCAGGAAACAAGTGCATCGGAGTCCTCCCTAGGGACGCGCTTGTGCAGGTTCTTAAGTCGCTCTAAGCAGACACCCATGTCGACGATTGGCTTAGTAACTTCACTAGGATCGGACTTGGAGGAGCGAGAGAACAGGCCAGCAGCGATAGCGGACTCGGACTTGGAGAGAACGCAGCTAAGAAGGACAGGGATAACACCATCGACCAGTGTGCGGAGCTCTCTCATATATTTGGCTTCGTCAGAGGAGAGCTCTTTCATGATGTCGTCGACAGTGGCAGTGGCAAGGCGGCTCCTGTTGGTACGAATACTTCTGGCAGAGACGATGCTCTTCGAGCTTGCCTTGGGCATGGAAAGCACTGAGATAAGATCCTCATGTCTGGCAAGCTTCCTCCGCCGGGTACTCTGGCGACTGATAATGGTCGAAGTTTCCGGGTTCAAGTACGAGCCTACTTCTGATGCAGGTGCTCCGGGACCAGTGCCTGCTTCCTCGGAGATGGTCGTGATTGTGTCAGAAGCTGGTACCTGCGAGGATCGCGCTGACTGCGAAGCAATGGTTGGAAGGCGCTTGCCAGTCGAAGGGAACATACGCGGTCCTAGAAGTTGTCGCGGTCGCAGAGGCTTAGGCATGGCGTCAAGTACAGGCGCATCAGCAAAGGAAGAAGGGGCGGACGAAGCAGTGTCCAAGTCGGTGATATCATCCTTGGGTATGTCGTCTATCGACGTGGTCTCGCGGAGAGGAGAGGACATAGATCGGCCTTTGGTGGGAGAATACTGGCCGCGCTTTGCACCGCGGCGCTTCAGCGAGGGCGTTGGAGTGACGGACACTTCACTTTCCTGGTCTTGAGTTGTCGTCTCTGTCGTAGTATCCGAGACGACAGTAGATGGAGTCTCGTCGATATCCTGGGTATTGATGGTCATTTCGCGGCTCGACCGTCTTCTGCGCCGTCTGCTACCGCTACCACTGCTACGGCGGCTCTCGACAGGCTCGTCCCTTGTCGCATCAGTGGACGCGCTGACATCTGACTTTTCGGCCTTGTAGGGCAAATCGACAGACGAGACTGACTCTTTCGACTTTCTCCTCCTTGGTGACCTCTTGCGTGGCTCATCTTGTGTCGTCCTTGTGGAGGTAGTGACCTCTGAGGCAGTGACTTCGGATGCATCGACGGTAGCGGGCAGGTCGAGGGAGGATACGGATTCTTTGGACTTCCGCCTGCGGCGCGAGCGCGTCTTCTTGACTGGGATCTCTTGTGTGGCATCGGTGGATACTGTGATGTCTGATTTGCCGGCCTTGGAGGCGGACTCTGGGCTCGACACAGAGTCTTTGGACTTGCGTCTGCGTCGGGGTTTCGACTCTGCCAGAGGGTCGGGTGTGCTGCTGAGCCAGGCTTCTAAGCGGCTTCCCGTGGCCTTGGTGGGAGTGGTCGTCTCTGGGGCTGCTGGGATGATCAGGGGTGTTGCAGCTTCTTCCTGGGTCCTTGGGTAGGACCTGCGACTCTTCTTCCGCGAAGGCTTTGGCGCGGGCTTGGTGCTCTCGTCCTCTGTGCGAGCACCGTTGCTTCTCGGTCGACGCCGGCGCCGTCTCTCTCGCAGCTCGTCGTCGCGGGGTGACGTGATGCGGCTCTCGTTGAGCGATGGGGCAGAGCTCTCTGCGTACTCGACCGTGACCATATTGTGGGGGTCGTCGCTCTGTACTGAGCCCGAGCGGCGTCCTGGGGGCCGAGTCCACGGCGTGAAGGGCATAAGATCCTCTGCCGACATGGATGCGCGGGGTGATGTGCGCGCGCGCCGTCTGCTACGCCGCATCCTCACCATCTCCGTCTTCTCTTTTTCGGGCTGGGGCGATGTAGGGTCTGATGGCGTCTCATCGCTCTTGGCGGTCTTTCCACTTGCAGCCCCACTGCTCGCCGGGCGTTGTTCGTTCTCTGAGCTCGACGGTTTGGACGGTCTGCGTGGCTTCGGCGGGGCTTTCTTCTGTCCTGTGCTCTTGCCTATGTACTCGGCGAGGGGCAGGAGAGGGTTTGACTGGGGCGTGACGGGGGCTATGGGCTTGAGCTCAGGGCTTGCGGGCTTCTTGGGGATGATCCTCGAGGGGCGCACCCAGGCGTTGGGGATCGTCTTTGGCTGTGGGCGACCGGCGGCTTCCTTGGGTGGTGACATTTTGGCGCGCCAGTGCGAGTCGCTGATGACGCGCTTCTTAGGCGCTGTTGCCGTGAGCAGGTCCTCGTCGAGTTCATTGTGGGGGACGGGCGTCTTCTTCGCGCTGCCCGGGCGCTCTGGGCTGGCGCCGACCGACTTTCCGCGCTCATGTGTGGGTTTCCAGTTGGGCTTGTCGTCGTGGGCTTTCGACTTGGGCGTGGTCGCGGGCTTGGGCGAGGCGGCGGGCTTGGTGGACGTCTCCGAGGCGGATGCGCCGGCGCCTTCCTTGCTCGCGGCGTCGGGGTCGACCTCCTGCTGCCAGCGCTTTATCTTGTCGCGCACGTTGGCGGGCTTGTTGATGCCGATGGCCTTGGCAAAGTCCTTGCCGTCCATGGCTGCTTGTTTGTCCGTCGCGCCCATCTTCTTGCCCGGCGTGCCATTTCTCTGCTGTCCAGCCGTGTTGTCGGGGTCACTGGGCCGGGGGGGAGCGGGCATCGAGTCCCAGTGTCATTGGAGCTGCGGGCAGACGTCACGGGGACGGGGCGGCGGGTGCGAGTGTTGTCGTGTTTTGCGAGGGCGTGGCTGACGGGCCGTTTCCAGAGCTACGCCGGAGCTGCCTCTGTGCGGGCGGCTGCGGGATCAACAATCTCGACAGCGAGTGTATAGGTGAGTGTGGTGAGTGCTGTCACCCCATAAGAGGGGAACGTTGAATGTAGCGCAGGGCGAGCGAACTGCTAGAGGGACGGTGTGATGTTTGATGACCCAATAATGGCTGCGGCCCGCCAGTAAAACCGGACTGGCCAAGTCTGCCCGCACGTTCCAGTGTCGCCGACAAGCACTACGATAAGCCCATGAGCTTGTGCGAGATCAGCATAAACTTGCCATGCAGCGCCGGCATCTAGACACGCTCGAGTCCGAGTCCTTCCAGCCTCGTGTTTACACGGCGGCTGAGACATTCCCAGCTTGCTATCTCGCAGCCCAGTCACGTTGGGCTATTCCGCGGGAACATCCATGAAAGACAGGCTCGATCAACAAACCCGTGCTGCAGCTTTGCTGGCATTACTGACATTACGACTACATCCAAGATGCGCGTAACAAAGTGCGATGATATGCTCCGCGGGCTGTGATCTAACCCCGCCATCTTATTCAACAAACATCCTTGATGGTACGATGCATGGAAAACGCCAACAACAGGTTTTGTATTTGCCCGCTGCCGAATGCTTGGAAGCTATCGAACCACTCAGTGCGCTTGTTGCGGAGATTTTAATGTGGGATTATCTCATGGTTTATTTTAGCCTCCTATGTCTGCTTTTTCCGACCGCAGACGGCCGCCTTGGTACGCGCCAAGACAACGTGTCTACCATAACACTTCTCAACCTTTTAGGGCCAATCTTTCAACCTCCAAACTTGCCCTCACAAAGGCCAACGACCCCAGAGGACTGTTGTAAACAATCGGTTGTTTCACATAGTACTGACATATCTCGTTAGCATTGACATACTGTGCTGCAACCTTCCATTACTCACCTCATAGCTAGCCGTCGAGTTCAGACTGCATACCCCAACCGTGCCGTTCCAGCCTAGCGTCCCGTTCCCATTATGGACGACAAATGTCTCGGCGATGTACTCGTACGCTCTCTTCGCTACATCTACGTACGCATTCTGGTTGCTGCTGTATGAAGCGGTGCCATTCCATGCCGCATCCGTGGATAGAGCCCCCAATCTTACACCCTTGAGCAAAGAGTACACAAACATACTGCTCGCACTACTCTCCAAGTAGTTGCCTTCTTCGCCAGGTCGGTCCATTACAGTCCACCACGCCCCAGTCTTTCCGTCTGCGGCTGCCACGATAGCAGGCATGAGTTGTTGGAACCGAGATCCGATGTACTGGCGTGCGTGGCTTGCATTTGCGGGGAGCAACTCGAGCGTATCTATGAGTGCCATACAGTACCATCCCAGACTGCGTCCCCACACGTGAGGGCTAGCGCCTGTAGCGCTGTTGGCCCAGACTGCTGTGTGGCTGGCATCGTAACCGTGTACTAGGAGACCGGTTTCTTGCGAGTAGCAGCGCTGCCATAGCAGATCGAGTTGGAAGACCATGTCTTCTAGCGTATCTTCAGTCATGGCAGAGTTACCAACATCGTTTGTGTATGCGGCGAGGAACGGAGTCAGACTAAACATGCCATCCAGGTAACTCCAGTACGGGTAGACATAGTACCATAACCCGCCTTGGTCATTTCTAGGCTGCAAATCCACACTCTTTCTCAATGCTTCGAATGCTGTTTTGTACTTTTCATCCCCGGTTTCCTGCCATAATCGTAGTAGACCGTTTCCGCTGCTCAGACGGTCCAATGGGTATTTCGTGTCGCGCGTTGCGTTGGAGACGACAGGTACCACAGAGTCGGCGCTCTTAGTAATGTAGGCCTTAAGTGCTGGGGCCAAGGAACTGTTTGCATAAGTGGAGAGGATCTCGTGGAACGTCTTCTGCGTAAATCCAGCCTGCAATAGGGCAGAGGAGTCGGTCTGGCTGATCAGGATACCCTGGCTCCGGGAGATGATCGACTGGGCCATCTGAATGGAGATGGGAGGAGACGCATGATTTACGGCGTTGGGAAGAGCTGTCGCCGATAGGGCAAAAAGACACCAGTGTGCGAGGGAAGTAGTCGACAGATACATGGTTGTTTGTGTCAAGAGTTCTAGCCCACGTAAAGATGCCGGGAACTTCTCCAAGTGCTTATGTACTGCTCGGCCTGTTTGTGATGGGCGGCAAGGATCGAGCTTACGACGCGAAAAATGCCGACAATAGGGTTTACACTAACATGGGTGATCGGCAATCCCGGCGTTACTTGCTAAGTTTCCGGGAACATACGTTGAAAGGAGTTCTGAAGCTGCATCTACTTGCCATAATCTTCTATTAGCATTATCCGAGTCTATCGATCTAGGGCGTCCTGTCCAAGCCACGCCTTCAAAACTAGGGTATCAAGTACCGTGTCTGTATCCAAAATGCTTTTTCAACGCATCCCAACAATCAAACCGTAAAAATGATGTCCTTGGCCAAGTCACTCCTCCACTCCAGCGGTATTGGTGTCCTCCTCAGAGGCACTGCTTGTATGCGTCTGATGCATGGAACATCCTTCTAGTTGCGCTTCTTGCCGATCTTCTCAACGAGCTTCGCCGCGTCGTTGACAGCCGCAAACGCGCTCCAAGTGGCCATGACACTCTGGTACATGAGGTATCCTGGGATCACGATCCAGAAAGCGTTCATCAGGACAAAGTATCCCCAGTAGTAGAACTGCTCAGGACGCGAGTACGACAGGTTGAGGATGTAGTGGTCGAAAAGCGAGGTAGCATAGTACAGTACGTCGCCGTAGAACTGGCCGAGCGAGACGATGAGTTGGGCCGAGTAGCGGAGCGGGTGGTCGATGGCGATGAGGTAGGCGCAGAGGAAGGAACCGGGGCCCCAGAATACCTGTGAGAATGTTGATTAGTTGCTGTCCTTCTTCGAGAGAAGCCCAAACAAGACGTATACGTACAGCGGTGACGGTCTCCATGCACAAAACGAAGGCGTCCTGGGTCAGGTAACGCGAGTCGCTGAGCGCGTACTCCTTCCACAGCTGGCCAAAGAGGTCGTTCAGTCCGCCCATATTCCTAAAGTTGTAGGCGAAGTAGCCCTCGAAGAACGAGTGGATGCAGCCGCACAGCACAAACCACATGATGGTGGAGAGGTCGCCGGTGCTGGCATTGGGGCGCAGGCGCTTGACCATCACGTACGTGACACTGAAGATGGCGACGCAGCCGGCAGCGAACATGAGCAGCAGGTCCAGCGTGCCCAGCTCGTTGGCCAGATAGCCCACAATCTCCTTCTCAATGGGGTAGTAAGGGTGCTGGCCCGGGGGCAGCGAGAAGTTGCCGGCTGCCATAGCGAAGGATGCGAGTATCGAATTAGACAAAAAATGTAATGGAAGTGGTGCAGAGGTAGAGAAGGGAAAGGAGTACAAGAGCGAGTGCGGTGTCTATGGGCGGGCTACTAGCAATGGGGGCACGGCGTGCGTCGTGGTGCCAGATGGCAGGCCGAGTGGGAAAATATTCCGGGGCAGGAGACGCCATCCAATTGGGACAGCGCTTGCGGCGCGCCCTGGCTGTCAGCGGCAGGGATAAGAAGCGCGACCGCGACTCCCCGTCGTGTCAGATGTCAGCAACTAAAGTCAGGCCGAACACGTAGACATGTGACCGTTCTGAAGTGCTCCGTCGGCTGTACCGATGCCTTCGTAGTCGTTGTTTGAGGCTGTTCGTGGCTCTTCGAGACTGAGCCCTTATCGCATTCTCCCGGTATGCCAGGTACGGTACGCTCATTTCCCTAGCGCAAAGAGGCGTCCTGCCGTCTCGGATAGGCACTCCAGCCTGCACCATGCGCGCTCGAGCTCTCGTCTCTGGATAACAAGACCTTTCAAAGCAGAGGCCGTCCGTTGCGATAAGTCGTGTTGAAGCCGGAAGTGGCGCGAAAGAGCAGCAAAGATGAACATGGCTAAGCGCACGTATGCCCCAAGGTGCGTAAGGCGAGTAATGAGTAGGAGGTTCGGTAGAACGTACAGCGACAGGCGTTGCTTTAGCCTAGCTTTATCTGCTCGCGCATCCACGGCGCTGCGAAAGCGAGTTGACCACCTGGGCAGCCCTGGAGGTGTCGACGTCCCCGGGCCCCTACCCCTCAAGCTAGTCCCAATCTAGTATACCTCGGCTCCTACCCGCGCGTCCTCTATGTCCGCGATATCACAGCGTCACTCCTCAAATGTCGCATACATCACAATGTCGCAAGGAGGCTCATCTGCAGACAAAGATTGGCGGTCCGTATCGAGGCGGAAGAAAGCAGAACAGAACGAGCGCATACCAAAAGAATGGAAGTTGAATGTCTTACCAGGAGCCGACGTAAAGAGCTACATCGATATACCACGCAAGTCAGGGCTATTGACAGAAGAGGAGCTGGAGATCACCGGACGATATGATGCTGTGGCACTGGCCGAAGCAATCAGAGGGAAGAAACTCAAATGCGTCGATGTGACACGGGCTTTCTGTAAAGTAAGCCGTCCCAAATTGGAGCAGACCTCTTGGTAGCGGCTGATGGACTAACATTATGGCAGACAGCAGCAATTGCCCACCAAGTCACCAATTGCCTCACAGAAATCTTCTTTGATGACGCGCTGAAGAGAGCCCAGGAGCTTGACGCCCATCTGGCATCAGGAAAAGCACCCCTTGGGCCACTCCACGGCGTTCCCATCTCACTGAAAGACACCTTCAGGGTCCGAGGTCATGATGCATCGATCGGGCTTGCAGCTCTCTGCTTCAAACCGGCACAAGAGAACTCGATCCTAGTCGATTGCTTACTCAACGCCGGTGCAGTTCTCTATTGCAAGACCAACGTACCTCAAACGCTCATGGCACTCGACTCCCACAACAACGTCTTCGGGCGAACTATTAATCCGCTCAACACTGCTGTGACCGCTGGTGGAAGCTCAGGTGGAGAGGGCGCTCTCATCGCGATGCGCGGCTCAATCTTGGGTGTAGGCACAGATGTGGGCGGCAGCATCAGGATCCCGGCCATGTGCGATGGTATGTTCGGTATTAAGCCCAGCTGGGAACGTATTCCCTATGCGGGTCAAGAGGGCGGCATGCTTCCCGGAGCAACAAAAGTTGGTATCCCGGCGAGTGCAGGGCCGCTCGCACACACCATGCGCGACGTCGAACTCTTCTTCAGCGCAGTCGCATCCCAGCAGCCGTGGAATATGGATCCAGATGTCATACCATCGCCATGGAATTCTTCATCAACTACGCGAAAGAAGCTACGGATCGGCATCGTCCGGCGAGATGGAGTCATTGAACCACATCCACCAATCTCCAGCATCTTAGATGAAGTCAAAGCTAAACTGCAAAAGTCTGGTATCGAGGCAGTGGAGATGGACATCACCCCTCTCTTTTCTCAATGTCAATCCCTCGCCAATGCGCTATTCGGTGTTGAAGGTGGCAACGCCATGTTCGACTTGCTGGAATCGTTCAACGAGCCACTTTCGCCATGGTTATCGACTCGACTCAAACGCAAGAAGCCGATGAATCTTCCCAAAGTTCAGCAATTTCATGGCAAGCGCGAGAAGCTGCGAAAGGAGTTTTTGAGCATCTGGAAAGATGCGCATGGCGAGATCGATGCCTTTATCTGCCCAGTCGCGCCACATCCTGTGCCGCCCATTGACCGGTACAACGGCGTCAGCTACACGAGTTCGTTTGTACTGTTAGACTACCCTGCCGGTACTGTACCAGTAAGGTCGTTTGAAGAGGCGGATATGAAGGGCGAGATGGCGAGCACGGAGCCATTGGGAAGTTGGGACAAAGCAAACAGGGAGCTTTGTAAGTATTACTATTTTCCTCGACTCGTTGGAAATACCGAAGCGCTCACATACTAACACGAAATGCAGGGACCAACACTGATCGTTCGGTCTACCTTGGCACGCCGCTTTGTGTACAAGTCGTCGCACCCAGATTACAAGAAGAGAAGCTGGTGCAGGCCATGTGTGCCATCGACGACGCTTTGAAGGGCTCAAACACTCTCAGCGCGAAGCTGTAGACCAAGGGTCAAAATGCCTGTACGGTGCACTGTCCACCATATATCCCTCCGTACCTCCATCCTTTGAGTCGTTCTCATCAGCTGGCGGCAGCTCAAGTCCCGTCTTCTTTCTCACCATCTCGTCCCAGTCGCCTCGTACAAAGTGACCAAATGCTTCCATGTTCCTTCCTAGCTTTTTCTCGGAGATGCGTTCGACCTTGTTGGTGTATGATAGTACCCGGAAATGGCAAGTGTCGCGGGTAAACGTCGCTGTGCGAAAGGCCACGGTGAAGCATTTGACGTGAGTCAATATCCACTTGTTCAGTAACATCTCCAGAGCGCAGCGTGCTATGTCTTCGACTGGAGGTGGCAGATCGCCATCTTCATCGGGCTCGGTCGGCGGGCATGATAGGTGGAGATACTGGAGGAGTAGTAGGTCTCGTAGAACACCAAGATCCGATATCTCTTGACAGAACTGGTCGGGGGTAATGTCCTCGGTCAAGGCGGGGAACGGGATACCAAGGCTGATGAGGTTGGTACATTGGGTAGCGATCAAATTGAGGTCTTTTGTGTGAAGTCGAAGGCTTGGGTCAGCTCCGAGATGTAGAGATGTCAATGAATGACCGATACTGGGGAGGATGGTGGCCAGGGGAAAGTGGCAGTAATCGGGCTGGTCAGTCTTGCTGATGCTGCCTTCCCAGAAGCTTGGTGTGGTGGTGCCCTCGAAGATCGGTTTGGCCTTGTCGTAGATCAGGCACAGGGTTTGTAGGTCACTGCAAGACGCTATGAGTGTGCATAGTGCCGTCTCCTCGTCCTGCTCAAGTTTCTGAAGCGACTGTTTGAGGATCAGAGACGAAGGATCGATCGATGCGGCATGACAACCGTCAAAGAAGCTGCGAATGCCCACGCAATCTTTGATCGTCAATGACTTGATCGCGCTGATCAGGATGTCGTCTTCGTCCTCGATTATCATCGAATTGCCGTATTCCGCGAGATCAAGGTATGTAACGGAGAATTCCTCGAGACTCTCCAGGATGCTATCCCAACCAAGACCCTTGAGAATGGGCTGTAGTGGCACCAGAGACTCCGCGCTACCGTTGTCAATGGTGATCGAGACAACTTCGCGCCCTGGCTTCTGCTCCAAAAGCTTTCGGCAATAGTGAGCGGGGGCATCGCGGTTCACCAAGATCTCCACTTCTTTGCCAGCCTCATGCGTGCGGCTGTCAAAGGGCCGGCGGACTTTGACCCCCAGCATTGGGCTTCCAGTCGTCTCGAGGAGCTTTGGCATGCGAATCTCCCGATCGAACTCGAAAGAGTTCGCCGAGTCGCCCAGAGCAGCAGTATTGTGGAGAGCAACGCTCTCAAGCTCTTCTTCGTTCTTGGGATGGAAGAAATCCCATTGCTGGAGAAGATGAGGCAATACACCCCAGATGAAGTTCTTCTCCACCTTCTCACCATCATACCATGTTGGTATGCACAGAACGTCGAGATACCACAATTGGCGCTTGAAAAACTTCAAAAAGAGCTTTTCGGTCTGCGCAGTCACTCTGCTTTCATTGGTGAAAGCGACTACCCGTAGGTTTGATATACTTTGAGGAAGATCCAACAAAGCAGTGAGATTCCTCATGATTGCCAGGCACTTCCGACTCGCTTCAGGTGTGACATGTATCAACATGTCTCGAAATTTCGAGAGCCGATCGTGATGCTGACGGTCCGGAGACCAAGATGTAGTCAAGCCGTTGAAACGCTCCAGCGAGCCTGCTTCCATCCGAAGGTACGGCTTCTTGTACAGGTACTGCTCAAACAGAGCGACCTTGTCATCCCAACTATTGGAGACAGCAACGCTCAGACGCCGGGAGATGGCATGTTGGGGCAACTACAGTATACGTTAGCACGATAATCGATAGAAGGAGTAGCAATGCCGTATCCTGATACACTTCAAAGATTATAGCCTGCTCATAAGATCGCTGGCAGGACCAATGTAGTCGGCATGGTGTAGTATTACATAGCAGAGGAAGATGTATATTACTTACGTATTCGCAAACCATATGTTGCAACTCGGGAGGAAGCGATTCCCAAAGGTACTTCTCCGCCTCGCTCACGTCGGAGCACGACATGGTCGTCATGCTATGCGGATGTATACTCCAGGCGATGGTATGGTATGGCTGTGATTAGGTAGAGATTGTATGGCGAGCTTGATGTGTGAATTGAATCAAGCAGCTCCAAGTTCAGGAAGGTGAGCGCCAAGGTTGGCCGACAAGCCAGAAACTCATAGTGAATGCGCATAATTGCGCCTTGGGTGGAAGTGAAAGTGAGAAGCTGCGATTTGGACAGTGCAAATGAGCGAAGAAACCCAAGTGACCCCGCAATACCACGGTGAATTGCCTATTCCAGCTGATTAAGTCAACCTTTCTCTATACTCTGAGCCCAAACAGGCTTTAGTCAAGATAAGGTCACCGCAGGGTCATTCACTGTCGATGAAGGCTCCGCGCAACCACGCACGGACTAACCGACAGCTAGCGTTGCGCTGGCTCTATATATAAATCCGCCCTCCCCTCCCTCTCTCCCTTTCTCAACACCGAGATTTCGCAGCTCACTCAACTCAACTATAACAAGGCACCTTTACACACCGCTTCCATGCGTGCTCATCTCAAAAGATCCTTGTATGGCCTTCGGGCTAATCCTTGTGGTATCCGTTGCTGGTTTCCTGATATGTTCGACCCTATCATTTTTTCCAGACATTACCCTGAGCGCGAGGCGGTCTTACACTCTAGTGTTCCGCACTCTAGCAAGCTCAGTACATCTGGTCCTGAGGAGCCTATATCAACACTTGCCGGGGGTGTTGACGAATTCATTACCTGGTCGGCGCGCATACAGAAGATAGGCTTGGATGCTGGCGATGAGGAGATTAGTCTGAGCTGGCATTGGCAAGTCTGGGAAGCGTTCTTTTTCGTTGAGTTTTGCAGCTTGCTGCTGGCTTGAAGAAGGAGCGCAAATTTGAAGCTCGGCTTTTCCATGTGACAGGTCAGAGGCCTTGGGAGGCTTGTTGTCTCTTATGGGCTAATCGCGAAATCAATTTACGCGTTGCGTTTCCTGTCTCTGCGGAGTTTGCTTCCAATCTGTTGCAAGAAAGATGGCAAGTGAAGTGAAAGCTGAGCATATGACGCAATTACCTTATCTGGAGCAATCCTTTATCTCATGATTGGCCACCTGCCACATATTCCCCTTCGGTCGCGACTGCCAGATGACTAGACATCCAACCAACCACCAGCATGTCGTCTACACAGCCCTTGCTTGCGCATGCGCCCGTTACTCCTCTTAGTACGACCAACAGCTCCGCCGTCCCGGTCGGCGCCCTCGCAGTCATCGAATGGTGCATATTTGATGGCTATACACACAAAGACGTTGTGAGCATGTACAACGGCGCTGGCTATGGCAGCGTCAGCACCAAATACGGTATATCGTATCAGGTGAGGAGGTGGGGCCCAGTGTGGTATCAAGAGCAAGGCGCTGTCAGACCATGGGAGCTCTACACGAAGATTGAGAAGGAAGAGTTCAAGAAAGAAGGACTGAGCGGTGAAGACTTCAAGTTTGTGCATCCACGGGAGCTGGATGTGGTGAATGGAGTTGTACACGTACGAGGACAGCCGCGAGGACAGAAAGAAAAGCGACAGGAAGCAGCAAGACGGAGGTCTCAGGGTAAGGCCGCGAAGCAACCGGGTGCGTCTTCTATACGGTCATCGGCAACTTGACTAAGAGAAACAACTTACTGATCTTTCACCGTGTAGTCAATACCGCCCAAAGCCGCAACGCCTCTCGAATATCTTCAGCAACTCGCGCATCCAGTTCCAGCTCCCGCCCCCTTCGCAATCCCAATCAAGTACAACCCGGTCATTCACCCAATTCAACTCCACCACCGGTTATACCTGAGCAACTTCGGGTCGCGATCAAGGCCAAGCACGGCGAGTGGCTGAGGGCGAATGAAAGGGGAGAGACAGAAATGGCGGATTTAGTTGAGCAAAAGTTGGCAAGCCTCGAGCGACAAGCAATGAAGGTCAGCCTGCCGGGATTCTTGGCGTGGAAGTTCGGACCAGAGCATATCGGCGCCGCGGTGAGCGGATGAGGCAGAAGGGCGAGGGACCGTCTTAGGCCAAATTCCCTTATCACCTTGTTGTCACGTAGCCAGTTGAAGCCTCCTACTTTCACTTCCTTTTTTTTCCGATCACAATCAGATCGCACACGCCGTTGTTGGCTGACGCCTCTTGATATGAGCCCATGCACTCACGAGACTGACTGAAAATGGTTTTCACCGGGTGGACTCCGCTCGTGCCTGTTACATAGTCCGCGAGCCTAATCCTCCCGCTGCGCTTTTGCCCAATCTACTTATACTCCTGCCTCAACCTACTATTCTCTACCGACACTCCGGTGTAGGTGACGAAGCACCACAACATCCAAGCATCGCAGAAGACACACGAAAGAAAGCCGCTACATTAAACCAGCCGAAAGATTCTGCAACCGTGATCATGTCATCCACAGATAACCCTACAAAAGGGGTTGACGCCTCAGCGCGGATGTCAATCACAGCACGGAAGCGTCGGTTGAATGAGCCCTACGTCGCCGCGGACGCCCAAGTGCTCCCTACAAATACCGCTTCCAACACGGATGAGCCCGGCGAGCATAATGACAACGAGGACGCGAACTCTCCGCCCAAGAAAAAGCGCAAGACGAAGTCTAACTCACCGAATGCGCACGCTAGAGTTGCTGCGAAGGATATACCTAGCGATGAAGAGATCAAAGCCTTCATAGAGGGCGTAGCAGCTATCAAAGACTGGACTTCTCAGGTAGTTGACACCAAGTATATACAACTGGTGCAATGGTACGACGTCGAAGGCATCTCGATGAAACAGTGCGGCACCAAATGGGTAGAAGAAGGATATGCAGAAGGACGCGCAGATCCGAAAAAGCAGAAGACTGAGGTTACTGAATCAGGGATGTGGAAGCACTACAGCAGCCACGGGAGGAAGTTCCTCGAGGAGAAAGGTCTCGTGTGGGTATCTCCATCGGCGCGGAAGGCTTACAAGAAAAGAATTGGCGTCGTCGAGCAGTCCAGAAAGACAATCCCAGAAAAGACAGTTCCACACAAGACGGTTTCACCCAAGACAGTCTCAGATCGGACGGAGCGCATACCATCACCTGGTATAGAAGAGGGAGAGCCGCTGACGATTGCTAGCCATACCAACGTGCTTGAGAGCAGTGAACACATGGCCGACGAACCAGTGCCCAGTATTCAGCGATACACCACACCGCAGCCGCAAGAGGAGGCCGCACGAGGTGTTACGAAGGTTGCGATGCCCAAGCCAGAAGACTATCGTGTGGGACTGCATCATGGAGAAGATGAGGAGCTGTTGTTCCTTCTCTCGAGGAAAGTGAAGGCAGAATCGAGACCAAGCGACCTCATTTGTGACTTTGAGAAAAAAGGGAAGAGGTAAGTAACTCTATGTCAAACATGACTGCAGACCATAGGACTGACATCATACGTCTTGACAGCCCTGCCGCCGCGCAATCAAGCGAGGTAACGAGCGATCCAGAGGCCGAAGCTGCAGAGGTCGTACGCTACAAGAACAGTCGAGCAACCGAAGATGTTCTGAGCTTTAAGCGGAAGACCGGTGACGTGCGCCGCGGACATCCCACTCGACCTATTCTGAGCCGAAAGCAAGCCATCGAGCACTGCACCTTTATAAAGGACGCCATCAAAAACGATCCGACCGTCGATACGATCGAGTACGGAGAAGACATAGATGCCGATACTATCGCCCGCTTCGTCGCGTGCATCTCGCCCGACTTCCGAGCGGCCCTGCCCACGCACGATGTTGTCGGATTGGTCAACGCGGGTCACCCGGACACCCGGACTACGGAGATCCAGTGGTCCATCCGGGAATTTGAAGACCTATACGTTTTCGCCCACACGATGGGCGCACTTGCGGTGTGCGATATGATCATCGATAGAGTATATGAGGAGCTGCATCGTCCCCAGCAGCGCCTGATTCCCACCATCGATGGTACGATGGAGAAATTCGGATTCCTCCGCATGAGCCCGGCGTTCATGAATCTTCTATCGGAGAATGACACGCGAGCTTTCAATTTCTTTGTCGGTGCTTTGGCCATGAAGGCCGAAGATACCCTGAAACTGCTGAAGATATCCGGGCTCGATCATTGGTACCATGAATCTAAGCAGGCGTTGATCACGAAGCTGGAAATAGAATGGGCATCAGGTGCGAACAAAAGCGAGTCGGCAGCGATATGTCCGACATACCATCACCATTGGAGCCCAGCGACAGGATGCTACAGGTCTGTAGTGTCCACGGCGCCCTTGGTATCGAAGTCCAACGCTGCGAAGCAATCGACCCCCACGTCCCGTACGATCCAGAAGCGACCCGAGCCCTACCAGCGCAAAGATCGTAAGAAGGAGGAAAAGGAGAAGGCCTGGGCTAAGAAGGTGGCATTCCAGAAGATCGATCGCGAGGCCAATAAAGCGCATGGACGTGGACCGGCAAATTTGGAAGCCGGGCAGGCCAGGCTTCAGAAGGTTCAGCAAGAGCTCCACGACGAAGACAAAGAGTACAGTGCTTCCTCCGACTCCTCACACTCGTCAGACGACGAAGACGTCAATGTGATCGTTGTGCAACTTCCTCGGGTATACAGCAGAGCTCGCGATCTCTTCCGAAACAGCCCTGGATCATATGCTGAACCATCCCAATACACTGTGATTGCGTCTGATCTGACGCATGCGAGATTCGCTGCCCGAAGCGGAGGTGGGCTGAACTATTCCGGCGAGGGTATGAATCTTTCCAAGGACACGGCGGAGATTCAGCGGAAGAAAGTAGCGATCGTGGAGGGCCAGCTGCAGATGTTTCGCGATAGCGGTTACGACCCCGACAATCTGCAGGGCCCAGGCCAATTGCGCGCCATGTCTCGGAGGGCGAGTGAAGACGGGGAGATAATCGATGGAGACGAGAGCGACGACGAGGACTAGGATACTAGTCACGATGGAGAGGCGACGAGGGTGGTGAGCGCGAGCGCTACGATGCCTGGATTCGGTGTTTAGACTGGTGAGATTTCATATAACGAGTACCTCGCACGCTAGAGCAGGAACTGCTGCGTGAGTCTTCAGGAGCTCGCTTGGTCGTGTACAGGGGAGAACGGAGGATATGATGCCTGCCGGGGCATGAGGATGATGGCTGGTCGGGCCTGGGTTGAGTCGTTGTGAGGGCGGTGGGCCATGTCCTGGTAGTTTACGCGCATATCGTGGTAGGGTAGAGAAATCGCGTGATGTTTGTCAAGCTGCCGAGGTCTCTTTGCTTGCGCGCGCATGTCTGTCCTTCCGCGCGTGCATGAGTCAGCATTCCGGACGCGTCGGCCCCACACGTGCGCAAACGTCATCGTCCCTGGAAGCTTCGGCCCAATTCGCGTCCTTGTCTATCTGAGCCAGCCCCAGCCCCTTGTCCAGCCCTACACATTGCGACGATAGCGATTATGCTTGCCACGACAACTGCCGACCGTAACCTGAGACGTCGATAACATCCCAAGGCCACAGCGTTCTTTATACCACGAATGGTGACATCGCCTCGCAGATGCCCCGGAATATTGCCGGTGGGGCAGCTCGGCGCATCAATTTGGGAGATTGTGCCGTAAATTGTCAGTCTGGTGTTGATCACACGTCTGTGCGAGGAGCAACGGTGATACTCAAGTATGGTGCTCGCGGTATAAGTGTGCTCGCGCCTGTACGTTCGTTGCCATTTACATCTTCACGCTGCCGCTGCGCCGCCATATTGACATCATCCTCAAAATGCGCTTCACAACCCTAGTTTGTGCCATGCTTGCACCTCTGATAGCCCTGGCGGCTCCAGCCGAGATACATAGCAGGTCAGATATACTCGCAGCCCGCCAGGCGCGTCCCACAAAGCCGGCACCATGCGTGCGTGTGATGAACACAACCGAAGCGCAGACAGCTACGCGTGCCGAAGCCTTCGCCCAAGCTTTCATCTACAAGAAGGACATCAGTGAGGCGTTCAAATACATAGCCAAAGACTACATTGTAAGAGGGTCACGACAGCTTCAAGAGGATCAATGACGGCTAACCACGTATAGAACCACAACCCCGCTGCACAGAACGGGTCTGACTCCGCCTGGAACATCCTCTCTCCAATCTGGGGCTCGCAGAGCATCACACCATTACGTACAGCGTTCAAGTCCCCACAAAGCTGGCTTAACTACCGCACCGGAAGTTTTGGGGAAGTCGTTGACCGTTTTCGATGGGAGGGTGGGTGTATCGCGGAGCATGCAAGTCTTATCTCTTCTACTGCAATAGAATCATTACTGACGTGGCAATCTGCAGTGGGATCAAGGCGAGAGATTTCCGCCGCAATATGTCTGAATAGGCAATCGATTGATGCATATAACCACACATGATAGGAATGTATGATCGAAAACATGTAGATACGTTAAGCCCAATGAATAACGACAGCGCAAACCCTTCACGAATGAATCCCAGATATCCCACCAACCTAAGAAAAGATGTGTCGTACACATGATACGTCTCTCTTGCACCATCGCCGCAATACCAATCTCGTTCAACTTTGATCGCAGAACGTGTTCCCTCATGCGAGTCGTTTCGCAATATATCCGATATCACAGCGCCAACCCCTTAGTTGTCCGTTCACACTCCGGCGTCCTATCCCATTCGATGACATGAGAACACGAAAGCTGATCATGCCAGTTCACATCTCAGACATCGATGCTGGACTTGCCCTTGTCTTCCTTGTCATCACCCTCAGGTCGGAGCTGCTCCTCGGAAGGCCTCGCGCTCTCATCGATGTAGCGCTCGGCATCAGCGTCGGCATCGAGATAGTCTTCTCCGCGCAGCAAGCTGTACCGCGCTCCATCCTTGTTCGTCTCTTTGATCTGTGGAGTGCCTACCGTCAAGTCGTGGTGGCAGTTGGGGCACTCATGTACCGTCGGAGCACGCAACGCAAACCACATCGCGCGAGCCTTGCAAGCAAAGAAGTAGAAGTGGATAAACCTGTCATCATGTTAGCAACCCTACTGATGACTGGCTTTGAATTTGAATGGCTTACATGTTGACAATCATGGGAGCTGTTGCGTATCCAGCCAAAAAGCCATATCCCGCTGACCCCAGATCGTCAACCTCGACCGCCCAGATCGGAATGAGTATTGCAAGATACGCGATACCCGCCAATCCGTCCAGGAGAGCGAACTTGGGGCCTGGCATACGATTGTGCCTTCGTTGGTGGACAATGCTCGCCGTTGAAGCAACCGCAGTCATGGCGAGGGGGATATAGCCGAAGCAGAATGTAGTTACATCGCGATGGTCGTACCAATACCGGTAACTATGGGATTCCAGCGAGAGAACGGTGATGGCAATGAGGAAAGGTGTTGTGAGGGCACTGGCAAACAAATTCAGTACGCGAAGAGAACGTTCCTGCGCCATGATCATATTGTTGGTTTGGGTAATCTGTTGGTATCTGAAAATGGAGGTGAAGACGAAAAGAGCCAGATGGCTTGGTGCAACAAAGACAAACTGAAGTCTACAGGCCTGTTTAAGTCACATCACCGACTGGGATAGCGTCTCATCATCTCTCAGGCAACAGCGAAAAGCACATAGCCGCAAGTGCATCAGAGCCGCGTGTACACACGAGGCGCTTTTTGGCATCGTCAGCCAATCGATGTGTCGCTCCGGCACGATAGCGGTACTACGCAGCAGTAGTGAGACAGCGAGATCTTTTGTTTACTCCCCCGAGTATGTGTTTTGGCCAATGAACGTTGACGTTGGGTGGCTATGCCGGCTAGCCTTGGTATAGCGCAGGTGGGCGGATTACTCGGGTCCTGTGTCAGGCTCTCCGCAGTGCATGGACGCATGCTCAAGAATAGAATGGCCTCTGAGACGTCTCAATATCTGTCTACCTACATACGGAGGTCTTTCCATGCATCGTTTCACTCTTGCTTCTACATCGATAGAGAAGGTTGCACAAGTCACGTGACGTTTACATCATCCGGGCATGCATTGCGGTCATACTAAAGCTCGTTTCCGTAATATTCATGCCTTTCTTCCAAATCGTAGAGTAGCGCCTGTTATTTATTCTGATCTTGGAGTGGGAAGCATGTCGCGTAGCCGCTTCCGCCAACGCTTGCGGCGTGTGGTTATCCAGGTAAGCAGAAATTACGTAGGTGACTAGGGAAGACCCTGAGGAAACCGTTGATTACTAAAACCCGCAAAGATCTTTGGGAAGATCCGGACCTTTGTTCTCTTCGCATGCGTGTAAGCATGCACAACCAAACTTATTTCACAACACGGCCCTTTTGGCATCACGATGCACCCGACCTCCATATCTGCTGCCAGAGTGAACTCATCGGGTCTTATCGAGGTGTACACCTACAAACCCTGCTCCAGTTATGTGCAGTACTTACAAGCCGTCGTGCGTCATTTCGGCACGCAAGACACGAGTGAGGTCTACCCAGACGCAGCTACAATATCCATGTTCCGCACTGCTTTCGCACCCCTCACGGAAGATCTAACCCGGAAGCTGAACCGTCTGCCCAGATACTCCGCATTGGTTTATCCTAGGACATTCCAACATTTTTCCCCAGCGCGCCGCCTGGATAGCGTTATTTCCTCCGCTCGATGGCGACTATTACGAAACATTCAGACGAGAGGTCAGAACAAAAGCCGCTTGTGAGAACTACGACCTATTCCAACGATTTGCAGTAAAACCCTGAGTGTTCTTCAGAATTATCATTTATTGCCGCCATCCTTATCAGAAGATTATATTCCACGGGGGTCCTCGTAGAATTAGTTGTGAGTGGCTTGTCGCTATGGTCCTCGCGACGCCAATGGTAGCTGCCAATTCGTATCGAATTCTGCACAATTACTATAGGGTAGATGTATACATTAGCTCAGAAGGTGTTTGCTTATCAAGATTCAGTGATGTGTATGCAGCAACATGCGACACGGGTTCTGGCCACCCCGCGGTACCGAGTATTGCATCTGCGATTTGATAAACCCAATCAGCTCTACGTAATGGTCAACATACCTTCTGCCTGTGGTTACCTCCCAAAATGATAGCCGCGCACGCGCCGAATATGACGCACAACGGTGATTTCAGAGCATATATAATCGCCTAAGATCCCAAACCCCCCAAGGTCTGCAGCGTAGAAGTCATCTCTGACCACAACATCCAGCAAACACCAAACCAGACTTACGAGATGACTCAACACACAGAAACACCCATGAATATTCCCAAACCATGGGAATCTGGCCATCAGACTCATTTATACAGACTGCCTCGGCATTTATCCAGGAAGATATTGGAACTTCTACCTTTATCATCTATGGCGACGTTCGCAGTGACGAGCCACCACTCGAATACATTGGTCCGCTCCATCAAGAACCCTTTCGCCCTGATCAAGAAAGAAGGGAATGAGGCTGAGCGAGCGAGGTTCTCGGTTCTGTGCTTCGACAAGCACTATCCGGACCATATCATATGTTATTATTGCGGCTCATACCATAAGCGCAAATCACCTGGTAGTCGGGATGTTTGGGGTCAAAACGCTCCGGCCGCCTTCAAGTACGGGACTAGGACGATATGCAAACGGCGCACAACAAAGTTCGACGGTTTGGACTGGGAAACCGTCCACGAAACGATGCGCGGGTTCCGGCACTCCCCTCGGTATGGACACAATCTCCTGCGCCCTGAAGGCGTTCATCAACAGGGGTCAAAACGGTGGGGCAGTGACATCTATGCATTACCCTGTGATGGTCATTTGCTTTTGAGAAAGAGATGGGTCAGTGGTATTCCGGAAGTCGAGGATGTAGACCCCAAGGCTGTAGTATTTGGGATTCCATACTCGTTATGTCCACACCTGAACTCGGTCCTCAATATATATTCCATGGGTTGTGGTATAAGAAACGCTGTCTCTCGCTTCTACACGTACCACGATCCTGAGGAGCTCAAATATGGATATGTTGATAAAGCCTTGCGGTGCACCGCCTGCCCTACCGAAGTGGTCATCGAAATAACTCCGCGAAGGCTGTTCATTGGGAATTGCGCAGACGAGTCGAGGTTTCCGAAATCAACCTATGTCGTAAGTGTCTCCAGATACGTCGACTTTGGCAAATGTCAGGATCCAGAGGACATTGAATGGAAGGCGCTCACAGAACGGAGACCGGGATTCTGGAGACGCCTCTTTTCGAGGAGGGATAGCGGGTCGCTAGACGGGGAAACAGCACGGCCGACGGTAGACCTTACACACCTGGAACCCGTTTGCGAGAGATTTAATGCGCGTCTTCATGCGCCTCTGCTCTCATCGCCGTCCCTCAGCAGTCCTACTGACCTTCGTCTGGCTATGCGTGATAGCACTGATGCACAACCTCCACCATACGCCGAGTAATCATAGTCAACAACATCGGGTCGCGAGAGTCCCAGCGAGCTGTGAACTGTGCCATGGGCGCATCCGGTAAGAAGCTTTGAAGGTGTCGGTTTCAACGAAGCGCAGTACGCGCCTATCTTCGACCCAGGATGATGCCCGGTCTTGCTTCGCGCGAGTTGTTGCGTCTGCACTTTGGTGTGCGGGATCCATGAATGGTTGTGATTGAGAACCAGACCGCAGTCTGAGTCAAAGGCGCACTCTATTCTTTCTTTATGGTTGTAATTTGTAGCTTTAGAACGTGTCGCAAGAGGGTGTGGCATGAACGGATTGGCGCAGGCCCGTGATGTCTAGGGGCAGCATGCCCCCACGACTGTATGCGTGGGCGCAAAATAGGGCCATTTCGGTCGCGCATCGAAGCAATTAGTGGTCTTGATCAATACTTGAGTGTTTGAACGTCAATGCTGATCCAATAAGAGAAATGGCCAGCTCAATCGCACAGACCATCGGTACACCTTCCCTAATTCGGTGATGACAATGAGACGATATCACACCCCCAGCCGTCCACAACGAAGACGGCTAATATGCGCCTTTTGCTCCCAACATATGCTTGCAGTCTCATTTTAAACAGATCTTTACTTGCACTATTCGCTAAGTAAGATTCCCGCTGCGCAATAACCATTCTGAGAAATTACCTGCATTTATGTACGCAATCGGAGTGAGATGAACGGAGAGTCCACCACGGATGTCTGTTTACCACACAGAACAAGGAGAGCATTCGAAATGAATAGATACAATACTCGCGCATGTGCTAAAACGGGCTAGCTGTAGAAACCTGGAGACAGTACACGGAATTCGTACATCAAGTCCGTGTTTGCATGTCTGCCTACACCATCCTCATGTCTGAAACGCCCACTAACCGTTGGCTACATATAGATCTCGTGGACCCTGACCAGGCTGTTGGGGGATGAATCTTTTGAATTTGTCTCTTGCACAAGTCGAGCTTTCAGGCGATCAGTCCCTTCCACATGAGCATCGTCAGGTGGTGGCTGCGGGCCATCGACCACGTGGAAACACAGAGATGCGTCGACAAGGCTGACGTCGTCGTCTGTTTCCGGCCTGAAGATAGTGATCTTGCTGATGGTCTTTTGGCCAAGTTGTAATTTGTGCTGCATGAGAAAGTAAGCGAACCCAGCACCGTTTGGAGATCCTGGTTTGGGTTAGTCTTACTATATGTCATCGGAGTTGAACGCGACTTGCCTAGTAGCGCATGGCCCTGATCCGTAGTGGTAGAGAAGTCGGTTCCCGGCCACTCGCTTAGTTCGGTGTTACGGTCGCGTAGACAAGAAGCGATGATTTGATTAGTCACCTCGTTGGAGATGGCTATCATGAAGAAGTAGCGAATGTTCTTGATATTGGGGTTGTTACGAACCCAAAATCCCCAGATGATGTCTGAGAAAGCGCGAAGTTGAGGTAGGTCGTCTTTGTTCGGCTCCTTCGTACCACCGCCCCAGATAGTCTTGGCGGATGCTTGAGGGCTTTCAAGGAAGAGACCATAGATAGCGCCTCCTTTGGTGTTGATTCCGAATTCAAAATGCGCCTTTGTTGCCTGTAACGCCGTCAGCATCTAACTACTGCTCATACGCAAGCCTAAACTCACTCTGTATTGCTTGTTGTTACCTGCTGTGCTGTACCACTGATTGATAGCCGGGATCTGGTTGCCCTCATTATCTCTTTTCTCTGGGTCCCAATGCTCGACCCTATAGCACTGGTTATCTCCGCCTGCTGAAGTCGGCCGTCCGTCGAGACCAAGTGAGCGCATCGCATGTGAGAAATGCCAGTGCTCAGAAAAGCTGCAGCTGAACGACGATGAGCTAGTTTCTCGCCAGTACCAGTCCTGAAGCTCTATCTTGAGGTCACTATTGTAAGGCCTTGCAGCAGATGGGGGTTCGCGAGTATCTTTCATCTGACGGCCTGCGGTCTGATCAGAGCCTTCGAGACCACAGATCAGGGCGCCTCCTTTGGCTGCATTCTTGTTCCAATCCTCCTCCGCGGCATAATCATCGTCCCAGA